TATATATATATATATATATATATATATATATATGGTCAGCAGCCTCATATAGGTAAGCTAAAATTTGCCAACGGCTCAGATTGAATCTGCGCCGATCTGTCGATCACCGATGCCCGATAATGTTTAGTAGCGTTTGAGTTTTAATTTTTTTCTATAAATCGGAATGACCTGAAATTTGGAGTGTCTGTTCATAAACAATAAACGAATCTATGAAAAAATATTTTAAAAATATTTTACATGAAAAAATTGACCAAAATACCTAGAAAAGTTTTGGGGGTATTTTGGTTAATTGTTTTTTTATAAAATATTTTTTTAATACTTTGTAGATTCACTTTTTTTTATGAACACACGCTCCAAATTTCAGATCATTCTGATTTATAGAAAAAAATATTAAAATTCAAACAGTACTGGGCATCCGTGATCGTCATATCGGCTCATATTGAATCTGGGTCGTTGGCATATTTAGCTTATCTATACTAGGTTGTGCACCATATATATATATATATATGGGAAAGTCTTCCCAACACCTGTAGGCAAAAATGAATAGTGATTTCGCCTACTCATCATTGTCCAAATTTTATCGCGAGGTCACGAATTTTTAATAGTGTTTTATTTTTCATTTTTTTTTCTAAAAATCGGAATGACTTGAATTTGGAGGGTATGCTCATCACTGTCCAAATTTCATCGCGCGGCTACGATTGTCTGGTAATGTTTTATTTTTTATTTTTTTTTAAAAATTGGAATGACCTGAAATTTGAAGGGTATGTACATGTTACTGAGGCACATCTAATAAAAATATAAAATTGACTAAAAATATCCCTTAAACTTTTCAGGGGTATTTTGATCTTTGTTTTTTCATGTAAACTATTTTTTTTATATTTTTCAAAGATTCCTCTATTTTTTATGAATATGTGCTCCAAATTTTATATCATTTCGATTCGTGAAAAAAAAAATGAAAATTAAATCAGTATCGGACAATTCTGACTGTGCGATGAACTTCGAACGGTGATGAGCATAGGCGAAATCACTGTTCATTTTCGCCTAAAGGCGTTGCGTAGTGTTTTCCTATAATTCCGATTTTTGAAAAAAAAAGAAAATTGAAATACTATTTAACAACTGTGACCGTGCGATGAACTTTGAACGGTGGTGAGCATAAGCGAAATCACTGTTCATTTTCGCTTATGCTCATCACCGTTCAAAGTTCATCGTAAGGTCACAATTCTCCGTTAGTGTTTCAATTTTTATTGTTTTTCCACATATCATAATGATATAAAATTTGGAGCATGTGTTCAAAAAAATTAGAAGAATCTAATAAAAATATAAAACAAATAATTCATAAAATATAAATCGATGAAAATACCTCTGAAACTTTATATGGATATTTTGTTCAATTTGTATCCTGTGAAATATTGTTTTCATATTTTTATTAGGTGCGCCTCACTAAGATTTATACACGCTCCAAATTTCAGATCATTCCGATTTATAGAAAAAAATAAAAATCGAAACATTACCGGACAATCGTGATCGTACGATGAACTTTGGATGGTGATGAGTATAGGCAAAATCACTATTCATTTTCACCTATAGGCGTTGGGAAGACCCTATATATAGGAAAAGCCTTCCCAATATCTATAGGCGAAAATGAATAGTGATTTCGCCTATCCTTATCACTGTCCAAATTTCATCGTGCAGTCACGATTGTTTGGTAGTGTTTTATTTTTCATTTGTTTTCTACAAATCTAAATGACTTGAAATTTGGAGGGTACGTACATACCCATCTAATAAAAATATAAAAAAATTATCTAAACAAATTGATCAAAATACCCTCAGAGCGTTTCAGGGGTATTTTGATCTTTTTTGTTTCATGTAAAATATTTTTTTTATACTTTTCAAAGATTCCCTTATTTTTGATAAATACACACTCCAAATTTTGGGCCACTTCAATTTGTAGAAAAAAATAAAAAAATGAAAAACTATTGGACAATCGTAATCGCTTGATGAACTTTGGACGACGATGGGGGTAGGCGAAATCACTGTTTATTTTTGCCTATAGGTGTTGGGTAGTGTTTTTCATATATATATATATATATATACACCCTCATCACCGTTAAAATTTCATCACGCGGTCATGATTGTCTGGTAGTGTTTTATTTTTCATTTTTTTCTACAAATCGGAATGACCTGGAATTTGGATTGCATGTACATCTTACTAAGGTGCATCTAATAAAAATATAAAAAAATTATCCGTAAAAAATAAATTGATCAAAATACCCCCAAAACATTTTAGGGGTATTTTGATAAATTGTTTTCACGTAAAATATTTTTTTTTTATAATTTTAGAAGATTCCCCTATTATTTATGAATACACGCTCTAAATTTCAGATCATTCCGATTTGTAGAAAAACAATGAAAAATAAAACACTACCGGATAATCGTGACCGCGCGATGAGTTTTGGGCGGTGATGGGAGTAGGCGAAATCGCTGTTCATTTTCACCTATAAGCATTGCGTAGTGTTTTCCATATATATATATATATATATTGTTTATATATATATGAGTAAGTTGAAGGCTCTAATTTTATTGTTTAAAAACTTAGGCTCTATATAAACTTTATATATATATATATATATATATATATATATATATAGTAGGAAAG